CATGACACATTTTCTCTTAAATAACCATACATGTTTTCCAGTTAAAATAAGTCTTGCTGGGTAATTTGGAGTTCAGGAAGATGCACAGATAGGTTCAATGGCTACACGCTAATGTTTGATCAGATAGGGAAGTAGCAAGTGCTCTTGTAATGCAAATGAAAGAATTTATGATGGGCATTATGAAATAGATGTCATTTCACAATGAGCAATCAAAGGTTCTTCATGACATAAGATCAATAAAAAGTGACCCATTAAATGAGCTCTTTGTACTATAGACCCACTTGACAGTAATGCCTTTCAGATTATGAAAAAAACTAGAGGAGGAATACCATTTTTATTTAGCAAATATTGAATTGAACTCTGGAAGTGCTAGGAACATGGAGGGTTAAAATACATGTTGAAGATGCAACATCTCATGCAAGTTATATCAGCAGTGATGCCTAGAAGAACAGGAATTAATGCAAAAGGTTAAATCTTTTATAGCAGCTCAAGTCAGACAGTCCAATGCATTAAATGAAGTCAAACTAAAATCTAAAGAACCCTTACTTATTTTAAAAATCACAATTTGTGCTAAAAAGTGGAGCATGTAGGACAGGTTATCATTGCATGTGATATTCTTAAGCAAAAGATAAAAAGAATTTATGAAAGTGACACATTCTTATCTAGACATTTGCATGGATTTTGGAAGCTGATAAACTTGATCATTTAGCATGAACAACAAACTCATTGATCATTAAGCATGAACAACAACTCATTTTGGTGGAGAATCCTTCAACCCTACCATAATGATACTGGATATGATGGAAGTTGATTGTATAAATTAGATCTTGGACCAAATATTTCTCTAGAATCTTATTTTTCCCACATTTGATTTCCATTTCTTTTTTTGCTGGTCTCTGTAATCTTAAAAGTTCTTGTCCTTATACACAACCTCTTATTAGGTCAAGGCCATCTGCAAAGCATAAGTTACAAGGTGGTGTTCTTCCTGAGATTTCCAAGATTGTTGATGGATAGAACAAGAGGCAAGATATATCCCAGTCTCTTTGAATTTTTACTTTAAGAACATCAATTTCTTTGTGGCCCAGCTGGACTAGGCACATTTTTTGCGGGCATATAATCTCTTTATCACCAATGCAAGATTAGATTTTTGTTTAGATTATTGCACCTTTGACAAGTGGCTTGTTTGAGGGGCTATAAAGAATTTACAGTTATTTACATGAACTGCACACTGGAAATAACTAACATTCCTCTGAAAGGGATATACAATGTTTGTTGACAGTGATAGCTTTCAGATAAAAATCAATACAAAAAAACAAGTAAAAACAAAAATTCTTTAAAACTTAAGATGGTGTTTTGCAAAAATCATTAATCGCTTTGCCTCTGAATATGAATTGCCACCATTTTTAGAAGTCCAGGATTTCTTATGCGGTTATGGGACTTCAGATCTAACCTTTTTTTTTTCTTATAGTATGGCTGTATGTATCATTGTACCAATAAAGTGCTTCAATGTAGTTCTTGAATCAGAGTGTTGTAATGGTCTTCTTATGGGAAAAAAAACATCATTCAACCTCAAATTACTATATGAAAAATCATGTGTATTCAGTTAGTTCAAATCAGGGTTTGGCTCTCAGCATATGTCATATAGGTGGTCACCTAGGATGCCACCATCTTGAGGTTATGGTTCTTCACTGAAGAACTGTACCCTGTGACTACTGAATGAGCACTCCCATTTCTGTGTATTATGGAGTATAAGAAGCCTATCTAATATCCTGAATATTGGCCATTAACTAAGAATGTTACACTGGTTACACTAGAAATTTTCATTAGTCAGTCTGAGGTATGTTGTTGGCTACATTGCCCCTTAGTGTCTAACCGATCACTTTTCTGGAAATAACGTAAATGACTTATGATATTCCTATTTGACTTGGTTACCGATTGAAACCTACAGCCAAGATCAAGCCTTTTCCAAGCACAAAGAAATTTCTTTTTCATTATGGAAAATCCTGTGATCAAAGGAATACTAGAACAGCTGTAAAAGTGATAAGTTGAAATATTGACAGAAAAAAAATCAGAAAAGGAAAGAAACACCTGACTTTAGCGTAAGACCATGTGCTTTTTCAAGGTTTGTCTGTCTGAATGGAACAGGAGGCCATGAGAAGTCTAGTGGAGGGAAGAGAACACCTGGATATAACATATTCTTTCCACTTCAGACCTGATCAGCCTTCAGCTTTACAGGTCTAGTATCTGGTAACTAATGGTTAATGGTTAAAAGCGAAATAAATGTGCTAGACATCTAAGGTCATATAGCACTATCGGAAGGTATAGTAAAGGGTGATGTCAGGTGATAGTTGCTATGCGTCAACTATCTAGAATAATGTTGGAAATTTCGTAACTAAAGAAAGTAAAAAGATGACAAAGAATAAGAAAATTAAAAATGAATCATCAAACAAGAGAAATGAATAAAAGGAACATACTGAATAAGTGAAACAAAAATAATAGCAGTAATACATGAAAAACTATGCAGTTGTCTTCTTTACTAGTTTACCAGTGTTTCTGCATGTTCCTAAACATTTACTGATGGAAAATTTATCTCTATGAAGAACGCTTATTCACAAAATACATACAGGTGTATATATAATATATAAATATAATTATAAACAACAGATGTGTTTGTCCAACCTTCCAGGGATACCAATATCAACCAAATTCAAGATAGGTAGGATGAAAGAATGGCATTGATTTTCCTCTGGTCTTTATGTATGGAATTTCAACAGACTATTTTAGTACATGAACTAGTTACCAACATCTTGAAATGAATCATACACATCACTTCAACATTACTGACAATTAGATTCCCTTAGTACGGCTTCTGTTGACTTTGTAATTTCATTTCAAAGATCTTTTAAGTTAATTATGTCCTGTTATTGTTTCACTGTGATATATTGTTTCTTCCTGAGATATGTTTGGAAAATATTGGATCTTACACTGATTCACAAGTGAAAACAAAGGAAGCTGATTGCATTATGCACATTTAAGAACACAACAAAGTCACACGGGAACTGTCACTTCTAAGGTTAAAAGTCACTGGAAAATAATAAAACCTTGGTAGGTTATACTTTAAATTATATTTTAAAATGAGCTCACCAATATCTATAGAGGGCTGTATTCTTTGACTGGCAGATAATCATACACCTCTGATGTAATTTTTAAACAATAATAATAAACAGAGCCCTTCAAAATCTCCTTCCTTTCCAGTCATCTGAGATTTTCTGTTCTTGAAACTAGACGTTTTCATGTGGCATTTCCATTTGGCTGAGAATGACACACAGCAAACTCACATTAAATATCTGTGCCATACTTTCCACATACTTTTAAATAGCAAAACCCATAAACTGTATCCACTAAACTGACCTCTTAGGCATGAGAAAGTAGTCTGTGCCATCAAGAATACTTCAATTGATGAAGAAGTCACATGAAATGGATTAATGAAAGACACTTGGAATTTTGCCTGAATGGTTGCAATGAACATTTCAGACGTCAGCTGGCCTAGAACCACTTAAGACTTCACACTTATGGGTTTCCTTCTGCATTACAAAAAATATATAATGAAATAATGACAATGAATATATAAATCAGCATTCATTCACCCACATACAAAAATTGTTGTACTACATTTAGAGACATAACACACAAAACTTGAAATACATATTTAAGTAGACACAAACTGGGAACATAGTACACAAGAGAGTACACATGTCAGATTAGGGACCATGCTAAAAGATACATTATTGCCCAACAAAATCATTAAAACCAACATCAACAGTCAACTGACAGTCAGTTAACTTAACAAATGGAATCAAATTTCTTCCTCACAAGGTAAATCTTGAGGATCAGGATATCGGGACATACACAATGGTCCATAAGTGCATTGCAGACCAACTAAGTGGTTGCACAACGAGAACACTTTCTTTCTCTTCATAATGACACTGTTAAAAAATATCAATAATAATACTAATAATGTCATAAATAATAAGGTTAATATTAATAATAAAACAAACACAATAATAATAATAATTAAAAAAATAAATAAAAGTAGAAGTAGTAATAGTAATATTAATGATGATGACGATGACGATGATGATAATCATTATAGATATAAATAACTATAATATTAATAAAAAGACGACAAGATAAAACTGTCGTAGGTAATATAGAAGAAAATAATAATCATGAAATAACAGTACATCTACTTAGGACAATAACAGTGACAACCATTGGTTTTCAGCTGTATCAACAACAATACTTGTGATTGAGATGGGTGGTGAATTATTCAAAACATCATACACGTGATAGTTCTATATATGTATAAGTGCAAGCTCATTTTTTCTCTACATGCAGTCCTTTTAAAACCCAAAAAATAGTTGTCATTGTATCTTCGGTTCAAAACGTGATTGCGTATCTGGAAAATACTTATTCTATAAAAGTCTTTGCACTGTTTTGAAGCATGTGTTGCTCTTCTTTGGGAGACAGCTCACATAACGCTACTTTCATTTGTCAATACATTCCTGAAATGGTTAAAACTATCAGTTCTATCGTATTTCCATAAATGTCAAAAGTGGTAATACTGACAATCGTCATGTGACATCTATTAAAAATACACGCTGCATGGGGAACAAGTGTAGGTCTATATTACTGTACACATGACTAGTAACTGATACTCTTTTAAATTTCGAACTTAATGCACCATCATCATAATTTAAACAATTCACAGGCAAATATTCATCAATGTTTAATTGTAATATGTAGATATAAAGTAATGTAAAGGTCAAATTATTTCATCTTTTTTTCAATGAACTGTAAATATAACTTCCATATTCATTACTATTATAAAATATATGTTATGTATGTATGTAAGTAAAAATATATATCTGTGTGTGTATGTGTGTGTGTGTGTGTGTGTGTGTGTTGTGTGTGTGTGTGTGTGTGTGTGTGTGTGTGTGTGTGTGTGTGTGTGTGTGTGTGTGTGGTGTGTGTGTGTTGTGTGTGTGTGTGTGTGTGTGTGTGTGTGTGTGTGTGTGTTGTGTGTATGTGTATGTGTATGTGTGTGATGTATGTGTATGTGTGTGTGCGCGCGCGCGCATATATATATATACATATATATATATTATATATATATATATATATATATATATATATATATATATATATATAATAATATATATATATATATATAAAAATAATATTAATAATAATAATAATAATAATAATATAATAATAAAATATAAACATTACAAATAAATGTCATCCTCAAAGCTTATTTCATTTGAAAGTATCAGAATCTTCCAGCATACTATAAATAACAAAATTCAGTACGAATAAAAAATCATAAATATCTTCTTTTACAAACTGTATATTTGTATATCATGGGAAAAGTAATACAAAAGGCTCACAAAGTTAATCTTCACTATAGTACATCATTCAGTCTCCGGAAAGAATAAACAGGCAACTCTCAAAGACTCCGCAGTACTCTGACTTACGAAGACTTTTATAGTCCGCTGGCATTTAATACTCATGTGTACCTGCTTCGTATCTTAAAACTTGAATACAATATTGCTCGGTGTTTGTGTTGAAATTTGTTACCTTGGACACCATTATATAATTTCTTTTCTAGAGAGACTTGGCGAATTAGAGTACTTCAGCATTTAGGGTACGCTACCAGTTTCTTCCTTCCTAAGACTGGACACTGAATAGCTAATTTCATAAAAGCAACAATAATGATTTTATATATACACATATATAAAAAAAAAAAAAAATGTATAAAAAATCCACATAAGTTGTTCCTCTTACTACAGTGACAGCTCTAGATTCTGAAATGTCTGTTTAAGAATACAGTCCGTGTATTGTAGAACTGTCAAAGTTGCCATACGTATGCACAAACTGGTTCTTGCAACCCATCCCTTTTGTCTGGCTTTGTCTGGCAACGTAATATCTGACCAAGAGATAAGCTTCGCAGGTCTAACTTCTTTATATTTCATCATCCTCTGCTGCGTCCGTTCCAGCTGCTTCTTCCACAGTCTCTGCCTGATCCGTCCCAGTTGCCTGTTGTGGCACTGAAAAAATACCGGAACTCATATTTTGACGTAATGAAGAACACATGAATGAATGAATGAACAGAAAGAAAACCTAGAAAATGTTTTAATTCAACCTCATCAATATTCAATATCATCAGCACTAACCTTTAGAACTTAAAGAACTTAAATATACGGAAACTCTATGAAAAATTCAAGAGATATCCTACCAAGCACGTGAAAACTTACATTGTCTTTTGAAGAGTCCTCCTTTGCCCCTAACAGTATTGTAAGAGCCACATTCTAGGCATTTATGGCCCAACACATGAAACAACGTCAATGATTCCTGTAGCATAATAAAAAAAAAATGTTACTAAACTATCATGTTAAAAAATATTTACACAAGTACTTTTCCTTTTTTCCCAAAACTGCTATTAATAAGACTACTATCACTAATTTTGCTAATATTTAATAACACTGCTAATAATTACATTAAAAAACAAAAGCTAACATTAAAAAAAGTGAAAACTCAAGTCTGAAGGACACTCAAATGCAAATACCTACCTTGTGACAATCCCGACAAAGAACATAACAGTAGAGGTCCCTATATTCATTTGGCATGGGTGTATCTGCTATTTCTTCATCCAGTGACTTCCACAACTGTAAATATACCATCAAAAGTGTTTAGCATGTAAATGCAAATAATAAATGTAAATATTATACAAAGGCTTCTTTTAAAACATAAATAAAAATTTACCAAAATAATTCATAAACCAGAAGAGCCATATCCCCAAAAATAAGGAAATACAAGAAGGGGGAAGGCACACTTACGTCATTCATTTTCATCATGGAAGTACCACAGGTTGGGCAGGCATAGAACCCTGCTTTTATGAGACTATGGAAACAAGGTCGATGGATCAGGTGACCACACGATGGCACGTGAGAAACGATGCGTGATGTATGAATATCCTCTAAACAGACAGGGCAGTTGGCCTTGCTGACTTTAACGATGCACTGCAATAGTAAATTTGCTCATTATTTCCAGTTCATAGACCAGGTAAGTCTTTTTTGTATACTTCATAGTGATAGCCTCATTTACAAATATGCAGACCAATATATACTATTAGCAAAGGGCATGGAAAGAAGAGGTAAGCAGACTGAAAACGAACTATAGATGCGGTAAAATGAGACGACAGGAGAAAATAGAAAAACTTACAAAGATGGGAAGATGACAAACATAAAAATAAGAGACAGTGCAAAGAGTGTTAAAATATAGATGGGAATCGGGGCAAGGTGGGGTTGAGAGAAATAGAAAACTATTGGGAGAAATGAAGTAAGAAAAACTAGCCCGCTGAAAATACAGCATACATGGGTAATGAGGGAAGATTAGATAAGTAGCAAATGGAGGTAAAAATTAAAAATGGAAATGCTT